CACAGTTGTTGGCACCCCGTGCTGCTCCACCACAGAAGCGGAGTTAGAAGATGCCGGGGAAAGTCCAGCCCTAATGCTTGCCGACGGGCCACGGATGGACTTTCCCCTGTCTGGTCACTCAAACACGCACTCAAGCCATCAGGATGGTCCGCTCATTCCATCCCAACTCAGTGCCATTTCCCCCCCTTGCTTAGCAGTATGTGCATAACCACATACTCCGTGGGGAACCCTCAGTGAAGAGGTACAGTTCTTCATTTATGTGCATGGGAAACAAAAGACAAAAAAACCCCAAAAACCCATTCGTCTGAGGTGGCATCTGATTGTGCAGTGACGGGCTGAGCCCGACTGCAATCTGATCACAGTCCAACCGATCGGTCTCCGACTGATCGCACGACTGCGAGTGAAATTCTACTGGAGGAAATAGGGGTACTTCCCCTCCGCACCAACTGGCACACATGACTGCAGCCTTAATGAGTAAAATGCTGCTCCCAGGAGATCCCAGGAGACTCCCACTTAGAAGCTCCCATGGAAATGCAGGCCCTGTAGTCACTCTAATACAGGCTTCCACGGAGCCACTAGGCCCCCCTAGCACTGTTCCCTCTAAGCTGAGTTAGTGTGAGCCAGCTCACAGTTTTTTAGCCTCCGGCTCACACATTTCTGTCTCAGCTCAGGAAGGGAGGGCTCCAGAGCAGACTAATTTAATGCAGTAGCCAAATCGCTGGCTCACAACTTTAATCCCAGCAGCTCACAGAGCAGAATTTTTGCTCACAAGACTCCACAGCTTAGAGGGAACATTGCCCCCTAGAGCCTGTCGGCTGCACGACTATAGGCCTAGGATCATGACAGTAATAAAAAGAGGCATTCATCATATAACTCACCTGACAAAGATGGCATGATTATTTTACTAAGATTTGAAAAGGAAATGTACAAACCAGTGAAATTGCATAATTTCAAATTGCAGGTGAAAAACACATCGTTCCCATTGTTTTCTGATTGACACAAAGAAAATGAGCCGAGCTAACAGCAGCAAAAAAAATGTTTTATCACAATACTTCTAGAATCCAGGTTTTGGCCTTTTGTCCTGTCCTTTAAAAAAAAACCAAAAAAAAAAACCAGCAAGTCAAAAAAGTACACCAAAATGGCTTTATTACTGAAGTTAAAAGGGGTATTTATGTGAAAATCAACTTGCAGTTTTACAGACTCACTTATGTGTATGCATTTAGACTTCAGAGCCATTGGTATCTTTGTCAGGTAACACTGGTGAATTGCATGAAAGATTACAAGCATTTTGCCATCATATTTTTGACATATTCCAGAGGCTAGCCATGTTATTCTGCTCTGCTGTAGCCAAAATAACCAAGAGCCTTTGGGAACATTAACAGCAAAATGAATTAACTCTGGCAGAAGGTTCTGTGTGCCCACTTCTGGCTGATAAAAGCTTATCCCACAATAAGTCTTTAAGGAGCCAAAAGCTTCTTGAATTGCAGTCTTAAGGACACTTTCCTTGAAGTAAGCCCCACTGAACAATACACTGATGAACTATACAGAAGAGGTTAAAGGCTGATAAATTCTTTCAAAGAATAATCTTTTGAAGAAGAACCTGAAGTTTTAGAAAGTGAAGTGAAAGCTGAATTCAAAGCAATTGGAAGAAATAAATCACCAGGAGGAGATGGGGTATCAATAGTGCTATTTCAAGACATGGAAGCAAAGGCCATCAAAGTCTCAGCAACCATATGCCAACACTCGGTCTACATTCCAGCTCCAAAAAAAGGAAACATCAAAGACTGCAGCATCTATTGGACCATCGCAATAATTTCTCACACGAGTAAAGTGATACTCAAAATCATACAACAAAGACTACTACTATATGTGGAACAAGAAATGCTAGATGTTCAAGCTGGATTCAGAAAAGGAAGAGGCCCTAGAGATTAGGGCTGCCATAAATTGGAAGCACACACAAGCCTCATTAAATAACATGGAATTTACTTCTTAGTAGGATGTTGGATCAGGCCAAAAGCCCATCTAGTCCAACACTCTGTCACACAGTGGCCAAAAATACCAGGTGCCTTCAGGAGGTCCACCAGTGGGGCCAGGACATTAGAAGCCCTCCCACTGTTGCCCCCCCCCCAAGCACCAAGAAGACAGAGCATCACTTGCCCCAGAGCCCCTATCTATACCTTGTGGCTAATAGCCACTGATGGACCTCTGCTCCATATGCTTATCTAATTCCCCTTTGAAGCCGTCCATGCTTGTAGCCGCCGCCACTTCCTGTGGCAGTGAATTCCATGGGTTAATCACTCTTTGGGTGAAGAAGTACTTCCTTTTATCCGTTCTAACCATGCTTATGATCACTCTTTCTTTCTTTCTTTCACAAAAAAAGAAACAATGTGTTAACACCTTCATTTTAACTACCTGTGCTCTACTGTTTACCTGCTGAGATGCTGTGGTTCATTATATGTGGGGATAAAAGGCAGGCATAACCTACCCCAACCACATAAAGCTCATTATTAGACTTGTAAAAAAAATTTACCTTTATATCTCTAGGTGTAAAAATATCTGCCTGCATGTTTGCATTTCAAGATTAAATGTATTTAATGCATTTCAAGATTAAGTTGCTGTACTGTTTAGGAAAGAGAGGCAGCAAAGATCTGCCCTTGATCAGTGTTGCTCTTTTCTACATATTGTTGTTCTAGTTTCACCTAGAGCCTTACATCTTGTAGGGAATAGGCGATTCATAAATTGGAAATATAAATTTAGATGCAGCGGAATGAATCTAATCAGACCCTAAGTACTGGTTTTTTGGATACTGAAACACTACAGTACTAGAATTCCACAAACTGATACTTTTAAACCTGATACTTGGTTTGCAATTCATTTTGTGGAAATGGCCAGCAATTTAAATATGTGTATCAACTTCCAGTATGTATGCATCCTTACTGGCCATAGCTATGTGTATACAGTTTGGAGGTGGGTAAGCACTTTGAATACAAAACACAAAGACAATGCTTATGGTTATAACCTTTTATTTGAAGCATTTGGAATGGACTGTGAGGCACAACCTGCCTGCCAGGGAAAGGACCAGTGTTCCCTCTAAGCTGAATGAGTGTGAGCTAGCAGTCACACCTTTTTGTCTTCGCTCAGGAAATATGACTCCAGAGCCAACTAATTTATGCCGTAGCCAAATCACTGGCTCACAGCTTTAATGCCAGTAGCTCACAAAGCAGAATTTTTGCTCACAGGACTCCACAGCTTAGAGGGAGCGTTGGTAGGGAGTGCCGCCAATTCTGGCTGGTACTGAGTAGTGACTTTGAATGATGTAAATAAATGAATACCTTAGAGCAGTGGTGGCGAACCTATGGCATGGGTGCCAGAGGTGGCACTCTGAGCCCTCTCTGTGGGCACGCGTGCAATCGCCCCAGCCAGGCCTAGACCGTCATTAAAGTGTGGAATTCTCTGTCAAATAATTTTAAGTCAATGAAAGCATTTGGGATTGCTTTCCTTACTTTGTTTGGATGATCTTAAGTTAATGTATGAGTTGTTTTTTCTAAAGTAAAACCTCAGTATTCAGGTTAAATTGCCGTGTTGGCACTTTGCGATCAATAAGTGGGTTTTGGGTCGCAGCTTGGGCACTCGGTCTCTAAAAGGTTCGCCATCACTGCCTTAGAGGGTGTGTGTGTGAGAGAGAGAATAGGGTTTGTTTTATTCCAGCCTGCTTGGATTAGTACTAGCTACCTGCCTGCTTGCTTCTGTACCCGGTTAACACCTCGATGTGTTCTATTGTAAATAAGCACATTATTTTTAAAAGAGACCAAACATTTCCAGTGTTTTCACCACCAAAGGTTGTGTGTGAGAGAGAAAGTAGGGTTTGTTTGTTTTATTCCAGCCTGCTTGGATTAGTCCTAGCTACCTGCCAGCTTGCTTCTGTACCCGGTTAACACCTTGATGTGTTCTACTGTGAATAAGCACATTATTTTTAAAAGATACCATACATTTCCAGTGTTTTCACCACCAAAGGTTGTGTGTGTGAGAGAGAAAGGAGGGTTTGTTTGTTTTATTCCAGCCTGCTTGGATTAGTCCTAGCTACCTGCCTGCTTGCTTCTGTACCCGGTTAACACCTTGATGTGTTCTACTGTGAATAAGCACATGATTCTAAAAGAGACCATACATTTCCAGTGTTTTCACCACCAAAGGAAACTGACCCTGGCGACAATATACTCAGGCTCGGGACCGCAATCTGTATTCTTCACAAGGAACCAAGCCTTCGGCTTGGTTCCTTGTGAAGAACACAGATTGCTCCATTGCCAGGCAAAAAGTAAACGGCTTCTCTGGTGCTTCAAAGGGACTTCAAAGGAACTCTGTGTCACCTAGGTTTATGGGCTATTGATGGGTCTCTTAGAAAAGGGACTGAGAATCCTACCTTGGCCTGGAGGGCAGTCACAAAATCCGTCCTCGACGAGCTGGGGATCTCATTAAGGGGCCTAATAAACTTCCTTGTTGGACTTGGTGTCTGGTCCTCTAAAGAGATCACTCTAGTCAATTTCACCGCCGCCTCCACCACCAACAAAGAACTTCAGAAGCTGCCGGAGGAAGGGAGGGGGGCGTGGGAGGAGCAGAGCCCTCCCTCCCTTTCGCTGCTCCGCCGCGGCAGCCGGCCGGCCCGGCCGTAATGAGAGGTAATTGGCCAGGCTGTTATCCATCTCCAGCCCACATCTTGCCTCCGAATGCCTCTAATTGAATTGCTGTAATTTTTTGCCCTTCCTAATGCACGGCCACGGCGAGGGGAAATGACCCCGGGGCGTGGGCGGCTCTCGAGGGAGGGGTTGGACGGCAGCCCATAAATAGCCGCGAGGGAGCCAGGACGGGACCCCCGCTTTCTCTCTCTCCCGGAGCCCCAAACGCCCGTTTCCACCGGCACCTCCTCCTGCCCCCCTGGTCCAAGACATGCAGTGACGAGTCCCGGAGGGAGACCAGCCCGAGGAACCCACCCGTCGTCCAGCCTCGGCGCCTTGAAGATCAGAGCGGCATCCCTGCGGTGGCTCAAGAGGTTGAGACGCTGAACTGCAGGCTGTGAAAGGTCAGTAGTTCAGCAGTTCGAGACCCGGGTTTGCCGCATGACGGAGTGAGCTCCCGTCTCTAGTTCCAGCTCCTGCCAGCCTAGCAGTTCGAAAGCAAGAAATTGCAAGTAGATAAATAGGTACCACTTCGGTGGGAAGGTAACAGCGTTCCGTGCGCCTTGGTGTTTAGTCATGCCGGCCACATGACCACGGAAACGTCTTCGGACAGTGCTGGCTCTTCGGCTTGGAAACGGAGATGAGCACCGCAACCCTAGAGTCGGACTCGACTGGCTTTCGAGCAAGGGGAACCTTTACCTTTAAATATGACACTGAATTTTTCTATGTGTATGCTGAGAATGGGGCTGCGGTGGCTCAAGTGGTTGAGACGCTGAGCTGCGGGCTGTGGAAGGTCGGTAGTTCAGCAGTTCGAGACCCGGAGCTCCCGTCTCTAGTGCCAACCTAGCAGTTCGAAAGCAAGAAACGGCAAGTAGATAAATAGGGACCGCTTCGGTGGGAAGGGAACAGCGTTCCGTGCGCCTTGGCGTTTAGTCACGCCAGCCACGTGACCACGGAAACGTCTTCGGACAGCGCTGGCTCTTCGGCTTGGAATCGGAGACGAGCACCGCAACCCTAGAGTCGGACTCGACTGGCTTTCGAGCAAGGGAAACCCTTTACCTTTTTCCTAGGCAGTCTCGGCTGGCTGCAATGCAGCTGCTGGCGTGGGCGCCCATTCCCACGGCCGACGGCTCCTCTAAAGCACCGGCGGGAGCGGAGGCATCGCCGGCCACCGGGGGGACGCACACAGAGAGCTCTTGAGACGCTCTCCGCCTCCCGCTCACTCCCGACTGCAGTGTTCCCTCTAAGCTGAGTGAGTGTGAGCCAGCTCCCAGTTTTTCAGCCTCCGGCTCGCACATTTGTGTCTCCGCTCAGGAAGGAGGGGCTCCAGAGCAAACTAACTGACCGCCGCAGCAGCCAAATCGCCCGCTCACAACTTGAATGCCAGGAGCTCTCCAAGGAGAATTTTTTTGCTCACAAGACTCCACAGCTTAGAGGGAACATTGCTCGAGAGAGCTGATCGTTGCTACCGCGCTGGCTCGACGGCTTCGCTTTCTGTGGGGTGGGGAGCCAATGTTCCCTCTAAGCTGTGGAGTCTTGTGAGCAAAAATTCTACTGTGTGAGCTGCTGGCATTCAAGTTGTGAGCGAGCCATTTGGCTGCTGCATAGATTAGTTTGCTCTGGAGCCCTCCTTCCTGAGCTAAGTCAAAAATGGGTGAGCCGGAGGCCAATGTTCCCTCTAAGCTGTGGAGTCTTGTGAGCAAAAATTCTACTTTGTGAGCTACTGGCACTAAAGTTGTGAGGGAGCGATTTGGCTCCTGCATAAGTTAGTTTGCTCTGGAGCCCTCCTTCCTGAGCTAGGACAAAAATGTGTGAGCCGGAGGCTAAGAAACTGTGAGCTAGCTCACACTAACTCAGCTTAGAGGGAACACTGCCGGAGGCTAAGAAACTGTGAGCTAGCTCACACTAACTCAGCTTAGAGGGAACATTGGCTGGGGGCATCAGGGGCAGATTCACCATTAGGCAGACTAAGGCATGTGTTTAGGGCGCCAGGGCCAAAGGGGACGCCACGAAGTTGGGGAAAGGGTGAAAAGCTTCGTTTGTACAGTCTATTGTGTTATCCTATGAATAGATTTTTGTGTTGCTGCCACCTGCATTGTCTATCTGGTCAGACAGGTCAACAGCTCAAATGGGGCGGCTTTCAGAGCAATGCTACCTCTAAGCTGTGGAGTCCTGTGAGCAAAAATCCCACTTTGTGAGCAGTGTTCCCTCTAAACTGAGTGAGTGTGAGCTAGCTCACAGTTTTTTAACCTCCGGCTCACACATTTCCGTCTTAGCTCAAGAAGGAGGGCTCCAGAGCAAACTAAGATATGCAGTAGCGAAATCGCTCGCTCACAACTTGAATGCCAGTCGCTCACAAAGTAGAATTTTTGCTCACAGGACTCCGTGGCTTAGAGGGAGCGTTGTTTGTGAGATGCTGGCATTAAAGCTGTGAGCCAGCGATTTGGCTGCTGCTTAAATTCATTTGCTTGGGAGCCCCCTCCTTCCTGAGCTAAGGCCAAAATGTGTGAGCCGGAGGGTAAAAAACTGTGAGCTAGCTCACAATAACTCAGCTTAGAGGGAACACTGTTTCAGGATCCGCAGCTGGAAGGCAAGGGGGTGACCGGGGCTCTTGGTCTTCTTTCAGATGCACAGGTGTGCCGGCCTCCTGTTCGTTTCTTTCCTCTTCTGCACTGCCCTCTCCGAGACCTTCGGACTGGTTTTGTCCGTAAGTATGGCTTTCAGACTTTCCGCGCGAGTTCCTCCTGAATAAGCTCAAGCCTGTGCTCTGCCTTAGCCCTGTTTGTCAAGTTCACATCCACCTTTTAAATATGAGCCCGGGCGCCGCTAAAGCCGAGGCAAATACTTGTTTCTTGAGAACGGAACGAAACATGAATGCGGGCAGGGGCGGATTAACCATGAAGCAGACTAAGCACGTGCTTAGGGCACCAGGGCCAAAGGGGGCACCACAAAGTTGGGGAAAGGGTGAATATTGGAACTTTGATACATTTAACTTGTGAAATATTAAAACAGATGTTGTAGTGCATTTTTGTAGAACTTTATGTAGCCCAAGCTTGATTTGATCTTGAAGATTCAATGCTTCTGGGGGCAGCAGAGAAATTCAGAAGGAAGGGGTGTGAATGTTTGAGAGGTTTACTAATTAGCCGAACACAGAGTGTTTGCTATTTATTCTGCAGCCTCATTTCCTGTTATAGTGGTCCTTTCTGTGCTAGACCTTAAATCCTGGTTCAACCCTTTCCCCGAACTTACATTCTACACTACATGCCAGTTCACCCCTGTAATTATCACGGGGTATTTTTACATTCGACACTACACTTGAGTTCACCCCTGTAATTATCTCCGGGTGTTACTTGTTTCCACATTACATTGAGATCACCCTGGTTTCACCCCACACTTGTTCCAGGATAAATGGATGCTGTTATAACCAGGGATAAATGCAAGGTATTGTATCCCAAATTGAACTCTGATAAAATCAGGGATGAGATCCAAGTGTGGGAAGAACCTTAGTGTCAGGTGCAAGTCCTGAGCGTTCTTATCCAGAAATAAGACACTGTGTATCAATGATAAATTGAGACATATTGGAATCAGTTCCATGTATTCAGGAAAGTCAAATTCTTACAAATAATTTATTTCAGTTAAACCAGATACTATCCCCGATGTATGTTCAGAAAATTCCAGCAGACGATCCAAATTAAATATAACAACATTTATGTATTTTGCATTCGCAGGTTTAGAGTGGGAGTTTTATTTTACAGAATATATGACCAGCCTCTTTCAGATCATCTTTTTTACCCAGCTTTGTCTTTTACGTGAACCCTTGTGTAATATGGGCACCAAATAATCTTCTTGCAATTTTCCCTTCTGTAAGGCTAAAGAGAAAAGGGGATGGACTATGAATAGTGCTGGTTATCTGCTTGGCCCACGTGAGTCCAAATGTTTTATATTATTCAAATCTAGAGAGTTAGTACCACGGGCGGGGTAAAAGTTGCATTAATAAATAACTAAATAAATAAAGATAGCAGGGCTCATTGCATACTATAAATATTATTTTCCAAGCTAGCTCTCTTCCTTATCTAGAGAGATGCTAACAGTGCAATCCTGTGCAGAATCACTCCAACCTAATGCGTGTAACAAGATTATTCTGCAAATCACTCAATTACTTCACTCAATTACTGTACTGATTTGTTTGTCTCCTTCACTGTGATATTTTGAATCTGAAGCAGGCCTATTCTGGTCTATTGTGGGGCTTGGGATGGCACTGTTACCCTACCAGCTTGATGTCAAAAGTTCATATTACTGTTCTAAAGCAATGGTGCTTCCCAAATGTAATAAATGTACGCATTGGCCTCTCTGGGCATATTTATGGGATTAATTAATTTTATTTCCTAAACAGTGAGAACATCATTCTTGAAAAGAGTACCTTTCTGGTTTCTACTTTCCTTTCTTTTTCTTCCTTTTTCTTCCCTTGACTGAGTACAATGGATGACCTATTTCAGACCGCCTGCAGTCATTCAGAACACATAGGGAAAAGGGCAAAATGATGGCCAAGGGGTCAAGGTTCACAATAAGGTTCACACGCCTGCTCTTGGATATAGGCAAGATTAAGCTATATGTACTGTAATATTTCCTGCAGTACATTCACTCATTTGCCTGAAGTTATTTCTCCAAAACCATTGCACACTTTTTCTCCCTTCCCTGTATAAACCCAGGCTTTTAAAGTTTTGATTTGTGGCATTTTTTAAAGAGTTTCCACAACAATTGTAGCACAGTCATTTTAGGTATGAATTGATATCGCTCTGTTGTCTCATCTGCTTTGGAGGTGGGTTTTGTGATATGTTTGGCAAGGGTGTTGAACCCTGTCCCTCTTTATTACATGGCTATACCGTCACAGTTACCTGTTCAAAAGCACCTTCCTTCTACCAGTGTGGTGTAGTGGTTAAGACTGGCAGACTCTAATCTGGAGAACCGGGTTTGATTCCCCACTCCTCCACATGCAGTGAGCTGGGTGACCTTGGGTCAATCACAATTCTTTCAGAGCTGTTCTCCGCCCCACCTACCTCACAGGGTGTCTGTTGTGGGGAGAAGAAGGGGAGGAGATTGTAAACTGCTCTGAGACTGCTCTGAGTGTGAAGGGTGGGTGTATATATCCAATTTCCTCTTCCTCCTCTTCCTCTTCCTCTTTTTAAAACTATAGGAGATTTACTACATGAGCTAAAATTGACATGGAGGTTTTCAACTTCTCTTCTTTGAAGCTGTAGCTGGATTTGACACACTTTGGGTGCGGTCAGACGGTGTGCTGAGAGCAGGTTAAACTGCTCCAGTTCTAACTGGATTATATTTGATTTGGATAATCGTGATCACACCTGCCTCACTGCGCTGCGTGGGAGCATTCATTGGTGGGTTTTTAAATGTTTTCTTAGTTTGCACATGCGTATAGGCGCCCCTCCATAGAATGGGGGGGGAATTATAATGGCGCATGCGCAGAACCACCAGGGTGAATCAATCTAACCCCTCCAACAAAAGACTTCCCCTTAAAAGTTTGACCCGAAAATGGTCTCCGTGAGATCCCGAACTCATCTAAACTCTAACACAAGTGACCGTTTAAATGTCGGTTTTCTAAACACGGTAGCAGAGCTCCACCTATGTGCGCACTGCCAGTGCATTAAAAAAAAATGGCGGGCAAAAAGCGGAAGCCTCGGGCAGCTTTCGAGCGGGGAGGGGGTTTAAACTGGAAGTGGCTTGACACTGGAGGAGCTATCACAATGGGAAAACTGCGGCTTTAAATGGGAGAGCTGAGAAAACACCACTTTGGGACCTGGTAACAAAATACTCCGGGTTAAAGCGGTTGTGAGCCGGAAACCAACAGCTGGGGATGGGAGGCCGATGTTGGCTGTGTGATCGTGCATATAAAATCCGTTGCTGAACCTTCACGACACCAGATCAAACGGCGCGTCTGAACACACCCTTTGTCAATTTTTGATTTTCTTTTTAAAAATGGTAGCTTATGCAGCACTGGTGTACATACTGTTTTTATGACCAGGCTTCTTTCAGGGAGTTACTTAAAATTCCCTTTGCCCCCCCTGCCCCTGAAGTTGCAGCTGTGACAACTGAGGGTGCTGTTTATAGGGAAAGAGAAGCCCATAGACATTTCCCTGGAGGTGCCTCCTAAAGAACATTCAAATAAAGAACACACCCTGTGAGAGCATGAGACTCCACATAGGTCTGAATATTACCAGTTCTTCATTAGAATATGTTATCCTTGTGTTGCAATTGAGGGGCATCTTTTTTCCCATGAGTATTTCTGAAATAAATAATAAGTGGCAAGCCTCATGGTGGCCTGGCCAGCACTCTGGTTAAGGACAGAGGCCTGAGTAAGTACGACTTTTGCGTGCGCTGTTTCAGAGTGCTTTCAGATGACGAGAGCCCCCTACCTTTCTTGCTGCTCTACAAATGCTGGCCTGATATAGCAACATGTTTTGCGACCACTGTTGTAAAGATGGAGGAACCAGGAGCAAAGGAAAGACAGAAAAGTGCGTTGTAAGACTATTCCGTATTATTACTTTTATTATGAGCAACTATAAAAAGTAATAAGAAACAGTCACAAAGTGCATACTTTTCTTTTTTTTTCTTTTTGCGCTAATCACACACCATCTGAAACACGGGGATGGGGATAGGGTGGGAACTGCTTCCTAACAATAATACAGCATACTGAGGCTGCTTCTGGGAAACAAAGGCTGAGTTCAGACTGGCTGTATGAAGTGCGCGGGAGTCGTGGCAAAAGGAACCGGAACCCGGTCACACTGCAGCGACTGATGCGGGAGCATACCGGGGAGGAGGCGCAGGGGAGCGTTCGCACTGTTGGGCTGCCCCTTGCGGAGGCGCGGCTGTGAGCGGCTTTGTTTCACTCCGGTGACATGCGCCTATGCGCCTATTTCTCGAGCTTTTCACTTGCACACTTCCGGGAAGTGGGATCAACGCACTCTCCAGGGCTTGCTACCACTTTCACCTGGTACTTTTTTATACAAAATATTTTTTTATTGATTTTAAAATATATAAACATAACAACACATTAACCCATCAAAACATTACTCCAATGGCTGCATATATCAAATTCTTTGGTAACATTACAACTATTAACTATTCATTCAAATTAAAAAATTGCTATATCTTTATATTTATGAGGTAACTTTGTCGTTGCGTTTGGATGTGAGGAAATATAATCAAAGTAAACAAACCATTTTTAAAGGAAATGATTCTTCTTCGTTATACTTTGGGCAACCCTTAGTTGAGTTGCTATCTTATCCGCTATTATTACATCCCACAATTTAGAATATCAGTTATTCAAACTTGGAACTCCAGTCTTATTCCATCTTTGTGCCAGTATTGACTTTGCGGCAAAAAGCAACAATGAAATTATTTAATTGTTTTGTTAATGTCAATTTGGGCCAGTAATTTAGAAGCACAGATTCAGGAGTATTGGGAATCTCATGCCCAGTAATTTTAAGAATTTCCTGAAGGATTTCCCCCCTGTATTTAAAGATTTTGGGGCAAGCCCACCAACAATGTATGAAATTTCCTTTCCGTCCACAACCCTTCCAACAGGTTGGGTTGGTTTTAAATTTGCATAAATATAGACGGTTAGATGTCTAATACCATCTAGTATATATTTTATATGTTTGTAGTCTAACATTCATATTATTGGTGGTAAAAGTGAAGGAGTTCCAAATACAATTCCACTGGTCTTCATTTATAGAAATGTTACATTCCTTTTCCCAGGCAATTTGGGTAGAAGCTTTTTCACCTGGTACTTTTTAAACACTTGGTAGGGGATTGTCATAGGACAGGTTGAGTACGGCTGGGGAATGCCTGACAGGTGTGCCTGTGTGAACCGGCCCCTTTAATCTGTTTGTGAAACGTGCCTCTATCGGGCAAACTGCCAGTCTGAACTTAGCCAAAATGAGCACAGTGACGTATGTGTGAAACATTATGGTTTACTTTAACCTGATTGTTGATATTTTCCTTTATATTGCAATGTAATAGCTACACAGGAGCTGCGGTGGCTCAAGTGGTTAAGACGCTGAAATGCAGGCTGTGGAAGGTCAGTAGTTCAGCAGTTCAAGACCCGGGTGCCGCATGATGGAGTGAGCTCCCATCTCTAGCTCCAGCTCCTGCCAACCTAGCAGTTCGAAAGCAAGAAATTGCAAGTAGATAAATAGGTACCGCTTCGGTGGGAAGGGAACAGCGTTCCGTGCGCCTTGGTGTTTAGTCATGCCAGTCACATGACCACAGAAACGTCTTCGGACAGCGCTGGCTCTTCGGCTTGGAAACGGAGATGAGCACCACAACCCTAGAGTTGGATTCGACTGGCTTTCGAGCAAGGGAACCTTTACCTTTACCTTTACCTTTAATAGCTACACATTTCAACATCAATAATCAGGTTAAAGTTAAGTAAACCGTAATTCACACATACTTCACTGTGCTTCAATTTCATTTTCAGGGCTCTTTTTGTAGCAGGAAGTCCTTTGCATATTAGGCGACACTCCCCTAATGTAGCCAATCCTCCAAAAGCTTACAGTAGCCCCTGTAAGAAGAGTTCTGTAAGCTCTTGGAGGATTGGCTACATTAGGGGTGCTACGAAAAGAGCCAATTTAAAAAAAACAAACCAAACCCTCAAGTCTTGTCAGAGTGTAAGTTTCACATACACTCCCTTTCTTGCACATAGTCACACTTGCCCAGCAGTTTGGTTACAATTATTTGAGTTTGGTGTGTGTGTGTGGGGGGGGGGCAGAATGTAAAGGCCATAATGGGGTGTGGGTCAGAAAAAATAAACCTTAAGGGCTACATGTGTTTTGTTCTATTTGTTGGCTTCAAATGAAACAGTAACAAAATAGACTGTGGGCAGACAATTCCCCATGCTGTACAGAGGACATCTACTTACCAAGTTCCATTTTCTCTAAGGTTGGGTAATAGCCGTCATTTGTTTCAGGTCGTATTGAACAGCTGCTCAAGGATATGCCCAGTGCAAGGGGGAGAGAAGCGCTACCTGGGGAATGTAAGATGGCTTTTGGAGGTTATTCATGTAAACTAACTGCAGCTTACTGTCAAAGCAACTGACAGTTTATTCTTAAAACCCAAGAGAAGAACAGTGAAAAGCACATGTTCTAAACTTGACACCAATGGGCTGCGTACTTTGCGCGCCCTACTATGCGTACCTCTTTTAGCCAAAGCTTTTTGCAGGAATGAACAAAGAAGGGCTGTATTCTAAAGGAGGTGCTTTCTAAAATTCAGCAGTTAATGGTTCAGCTCCACAATTGGCTGAGCCAGCCCATAGGTGGCTGGAACATCATTACCAAACAGCTGCACCACTGCAACGCGTAACGTTGTGCTGGTGCCGCTAACTGTGTGCCAGTGTTGCTGTCTGACAATTGATGTGAAGTTCATCTTGCCATTCATTAATCTTGCATCTTTCCATTACAAAATGTCTGTTACATTTGTGTTCAAAACTAAAAAAGGTGTTTACCAAGTATGGTGGTATTTATGAATCTCCTAACGTACTGCACTATTATAAAGCAATAAAACCTTTCTTGTATTTCGTTTTTTTCAACAGATGCAATAGACAGAATTTTTAATGACAAGCATGGTCTAGCTGGTAAACGTGACATACAGCCTGGAGAAAATATAAAAGCGGGTAATGGAATTCCTTCCTTCCTTTGTGTGTCTATATTTGACAGAGTTTCCTAAGGCCTAGACAATCTTACTCACCGTTTCTTGTTTATTAGATTAATAGTTAAGTAGTTAAACATCGTTCCGTGCGCCTTGGTGTTTAGTCATGCTGGCCACCTGACCACGGAAACGTCTTTGGACAGCGCTGGCTCTTCGGCTTTGAAATGGAGATGAGCATCGCAACCCTAGAGTTGGACTCGACTGGCTTTCGAGCAAGGGAACCTTTACCTTTACCTAGTTAAACATCAGGAGCTGCGGTGGCTCAAGTGGTTAAGATGCTGAACTGCAGACTGGAAGGTCAGTAGTTCAGCAGTTCGAGACCCGAGTGTCGCATGATGGAGTGAGCTCCCATCTCTGGCCCCAGCTCCTGCCAACCTAGCAGTTTGAAAGCAATTAATTGCAAGTAGATAAATAGGTGTACCTAACAGCATTCCTTGCGCCTTGACATTTGGTCATGCCGGCCACATGACCACAGAAATGTCTTCGGACAGCGCTGGCTTCTTCGGCTTGGAAACGGAGATGAGCACCGCAACCCTAGTGTTGAATTCGACTGGCTTTCAAGCAAGGGAAACCTTTACCTTTACTAGTTAAACATCACCTCTATTCATGGATATATGTTTTGCATTTTGAATTGCTAGATACATTTACACAAGTTTGCGTTAATGCTTTATATTCATATTTATCTTCTTACATATCTTCGCTGTAGTGATATTTGACTATTATGTTTTCTGTTATTGATAATCTTTGTTACTCATTGTTACTCTTTAAAGCTATTTAATATCTATATATTTATATCTATCTATATCTATATATATAGATATTTTAAAAAAGAATAGTTAGCTGAACAACGACCCAGCAAACAGTGTCCAGCACCTTTCTAAAGTGAGGCTCCTTCTGATATAACCAAATGGACAGCTTTGGCAAGTTTCTGATCACCTGGCAGCAAGGATGAGCATCTGATAGTGGGTTGTATAGCCTGCTTTGCCTCCTGATATTTACTTCAAAGGTTTCTCTCCCTCTCAGGGACCTTCCTCAAACTTTTCTTGGATCGCTGCAATCCTCTCTCTCCCAATGGACGTTTTAAAAATCATTTGTATGAAACCTTGACAGTTAATACATGATTTGAATATCAAACAGGGCATCTCTTCCCATATGTCCTTGGGATGTTAACAATAATCTTCGGGCTGCTGCCTCCTGTCTGTTCTCCCTCTTAAAGTAGTCTGCCTGACCTGAACCAGAGTCCATGCCTTTTCTTTTATACCTCCCACTCTGTGGAACAGGCTTCCCCGGGGTGAATGGGGTGACCATCTGTTAAAAAAAAAAGAAAAAAGGAGGTGCTGTGAGTTATTTTATTTGCCAGGGCTTATTTGTGGTTTTATTTTATCTATGTTCTATATTGTGATCTGTAAGTTGTCTTGAGCCATGAGAAAAAGGAAGGATATGATATTTCAGTAAATGATCCACACAAAGCTGCCTTCGGCCACATGACCACAGAAACGTCTTCGGGCAGCGCTGGCTCTTCGGCTTTGAAACGGAGATGAGCACCGCAACCCTAGAGTCGGATTCGACTGGCTTTCGAGCAAGGGGACCTTTACCTTTTACAATCTACTAGTCTATCAAGGGCTACTCTGAGTGCTGGCTGTTCTCCAAAGTTTCAGATTTTACACGTGGAACAACTGCAGTGTGTACATGATACCTATTTCTTTGGTAGGTTAGTACTGTGCCTGGTTATAAAATGTTACAGTACTTCATATAAATATCTTGTTTCTCTTTTGAAAGTGGATGGAACCTGCCGACCCAGATTGGTCTTTGCACAAACCTGCAAGCCAAACAGAAAACCAAACTACCTGTTAAAATATAGTCAGCCACTGATGTAGTTTTCTAACCTTTCTGGTACTTTCAGTCTCCTGTTCTCTCCTATCATATCAGAATGGTTGAATTGAGAATCTGTTCCTGGTGGAATATCAGAAACTGGTGACAGGGGTGAAAAATATTTCCAGAAGTCATACTTCTTGGGCATCGTAATCCCCTCTCCCAATTAGCAGAAGCGGAATAAAGTCCACACAACAATTCATTTTATGCAAAGTTGTCTCATTTTGCATAAGTTATGTGGGTGGCAGAATGCAGGCTGATGATGATACTGGGCTTGTTGCTGAAGAGTTTTGTGGAGTTTTTTAATGTACAAACGTCCATGCAGCCTTGGCCTACAGTTAAACTACTGTCCATTGACCTTTCTCTTTGGAACACTTGAGATATTATGAACAGCCCTTAAAATCTATTTTTTGTGGGGAAATCTTTGTCAGGGTAGATTTAACAGAAATGTTCAACACAGCAGGTTTTAATAGCTTCGCATGAAGTGGCTTTAAATAGAAGGCTGGTCATCTGTACTATCTAGCCCAGTTCCAAGGATGTTACAGCTGTCTAGCAATGCAAGGAGACAGAGGAATGTGGTAACAATACCCTCAGTCCACATGATGAACCTAAAGGTAAAGGCTTCCCTTGCTCGAAAGCTAGTCGAATCTGACTCTAGGGGGCGGTGTTCATCTCAGTTTCCAAGCCAAAGAGCCAGCGCTGTCCAAAGACTTTTCTGAGGTCATGTGGCCAGCATGACTAAACGCTGAGGCGCACGGAATGCTGTTACCTTCCCACCGAAGCGGTACCTATTTAAGGTAAAGGTAAAGGTTCCCTTGCTTGAAAGCCAGTCGAATCCGACTCTACGGTTGCAGTGCTCATCTCCGTTTCAAAGCCGAAGAGCCAGCGCTGTCCGAAGACGTTTCCGTGGTCATGTGGCTGGCATGACTAAACACCAAGGCTCACGGAGCGCTGTTACCTTCCCACCGAAGTGGTACCTATTTATCTACTTGCAATTTCTTGCTTTCGAACTGCTAGGTTGGCAGGAGCTGCTTTTAAGAAAAGTAAACTGATGATCAACTGTCCTCCTCAGCATTTCATGGTTCCTGAAGGATTAGGCCATCTTAAAGGTTGTGTGTGTATTTTTTTAAAGGCAACTGACCTGTTTTGAAAAGAGGTTCCACGGCTGCAGAAATATATCAAAACGGTCAACCTTATTATGTTGGTAATAGAGATCGATCATAACTAGACCCCTAACTGTGCATTATCTGATCTTTAAGCAGAGTTACACCAGTTTGGTGTAGTGGTTAAGTGTGCGGACTCTAATCTGGGAGAACCGAGTTTGATTCCCCACTCCTCCACTTGCACCTGGCTGGATGACCTTGGGCAAGCCGTAGCTCTGATAGGAGCTGTTCTTGAAAAAGAGCAGTTTCTGTCAGAGCTCTCTCAGCCCCACCTACCTCACAGGGTGTCTGTTGTGGGGAGGGGAAGGGAAAGGAGTTTGTAAGCTGCTCTGAGACACCTTTGGGTAGTGAAGGGCGGGGTATAAATCCAAACTCTTCTTCTTAAGTCGGTTAAAGACAGTAGGCTTAGAACAGTATAAGTTTATGACTCTACTTTTTCCTTTAAAAAAATTCCCTTACACCTTAAGATATACTGCTATTATGGTTGGTCCTGCCCCTCCAATATGAATTCCATTTCATAAAAAGCAGATGCAGTAATTCCTGATTAATATTTTCCAGGTACTTTTGGAAGACCACAGATGGATGACAATGTTGTGCGTACAGTGATTGAATTTTTGACCTACTTACATCTTAAAGGTTAGTATAGTTTTATTAGTAATGTTGAGTATCTTATTATTCAATCCTCACTCAAATCAGACTCTTAACTGGGCCTATTTAGGTTTCAGGAATATTTTAAAATTCAGCACTTAAATTTCAGTGTTACTAACATAACCATGGACTTAACTTTCAGAAGTTTCATAATGGCAATATTAAGTCATGGGCAATGTCGTTAATAGTCACTAACCGGGATTCATCGCAGGCGAACTTTATAGTGAGCCAGTTGTTGAAGTCAGACCAGGCATAATCAAAGATGAGGGTAGGACTAATGTTTAGGATATCCTTCCAAGCAGATTAACATCTGGAGGGTGGAACTGAGAACATGGAGCATGACTGAGGAGCCATGCAGTGGAAAACAGGAGTAGGTAGGAGACAAACTGGGGAGATCTGGAAACATGTATAGGCCTCTAGAGTCAGCTGGAAGTAATCATAGTACTCAAAAGAGGTGGGTAGCTGAGGAGGAGAGGAGACAATTGTCTCTTGAAAGCTATGCCTCTGCCTCAAAATTGCTCACCAGAAGAGAGACCCTGGCTGAGATGCTAAGAGAATGAGTTCAGGACTGGCTAGAACTGATACAAAAAAGCTTTGCTTCATGTTCCTCCTGTGGAAGCCTTATACCTTCATCATCTAGCTACCAACTGTACGCACTGATGATAATGTGCGGCCCAAGAAAATAAGTACTATAGATGTCAGATCTAGGAGTCTGATGGACGGGTCTTGGAAAATGTGAAAATACACCTTGAAAACAGTAAAAGTACTTTTACTCAAACACAGTGAGCGCGTTTGGTGTAGTGGTTAAGTGTGCGAACTCTAATCTGGGAGAACTGGGTTTGATTCCCCACTCCTCCAGTTGCACCTGGCTGGATGACCTTGGGCAAGCCGTAGTTCTGACAAGAGCTGTTCTTGAAAAAGAGCAGTTTCTGTCAGAGCTCTCCCAGCCCCACCTACCTCACAGGGTATCTGTTGTGGGGAGGGGGAGGGAAAGGAGTTTGTAAGCCGCTCTGAGAGTTCTTTGGGTAGTGCAGGGCAGGGTATAAATCCAATCTCTTCTCTTCTTCTTCTTACTCAATGCCCATCATCACCTAATCTATGCTTTAGTTTTCTGATCTTGTCACACTAGTGCTATATATTCCACTGCTTCAGATATTTGGGAAACAGCAAGAACTGGCTGGCTACACTGCTCTTTTCAAAAATTAAAAAGCTGTGAAGTGCTATGATGTGCCTTACAGGCTCCAAAAAAGGACAGTAGAAGGATGTTCTACATGCTGCCACTGTCACGATCCTTTAAGTCAAGGGCCTGATGATACTGATATGACAAAAGAACTTACCTATATGACTTTGCAGAATCCAGTTTTGTGTTGGGACTTCAGTTGCTACCTGTGCAAAATATCTATAGCATATGTATGTGTTGCATGCATAACCTCTTCACAGGCCAGTTTAAGCAAGATGCTGGGCAGGTGCAAAGTTGTACAGGTAACTTTTTCTGTTCCTTCTCCATCATGTTTAAATCAGGGTCTCAGGAACAAAATGCACATGTGTCGATGTATACTCTCCAAAAGGGAGTTGCACAGTTGGCATATCGTGGCGGAGTCAGTAAACAAGATAAATTGTGCTTGAACCTGACGTGTAAAGTCTTAAAAGAAAAATGTCAACTAAAGGTTTGAGATCCAATGACCCTAGGTGGGATACCAGGAGCATTTGGATAATCAGAGCTTTAGATAAAATAAGTGTGTTATTTTCCTAGAACTAAACTGACACTGGACTTCATAACTGCTCATGAAATTCTGACCACTGGATTCCTTCCTCTGCCTCAAGTTTTTACCTCTGTATACAAGGGTTTCTCAAGCTTTTCTCAAGACAAGCACAGTCATCTTAACTGTGCTTCATGAATGACAGTTCTTTTCAACATTTGAGAGAGAGAGAATGTTACGGAGGCCAAGCTAAGAATTCAACCCTTCTCTGGTAAATTTGAATAACCAGGAGTTTGGGAATAGCTGGTCATTGGTTAATGGTATTCTACTGCACATTGCACTAAAAATGACTTTAAGCCATCTCCTAGAAAGTGGTTCGTGTGATTTGTATCCTCGAAAGCACCAGTGGAATGTTGAGCCTGGGGGGGGAGTTGCAGTGAGAACGGGGGTCGGAGGTGGTCCCCTTTCCCCTCTCTCATCAGGGCAACTGTTGCTTTCTTGGACCTCTAAGTGATCTCAGTTGTTGTTGTTGTTTGGTCGCACAGTCGAGTCTGACTCTTCGCGACCCCATGGACCAGATCACGCCAGGCCTTCCTGTCTTCTGCCGTCCTCTGAAGTTTGCTCAACTTCATGTTTGTTGCATCTATGACACTGTCTCACCATCTCATCCTTTGCCGTCCCTGTCTTCTTTGACCTTCAGTCTTTCCCAGCATCAGGGTCTTCTCCAGTGAGTGCTGCGAGAGTTGGACTATAAGGAAGGCCGAGCGCCGAAGAATAGATTCTTTTGAACTATGGTGCTGGAGACGACTCTTGAGAGTCCCTTGGACTGCAAGGAGATCGAATCAGTCAATCCTAAAAGTAATCAACCCTGACTGTTCCCTGGAAGGCCAGATAATGAAACTGAAGCTCAAATACTTTGGCCACCCAATGAGAAGGGAGCACTCCCTGGAGTGATCTCAGTACCATTAGCCATAATATTCTTCTGGTTGAAATGGGAGTTGGAGGACTATGTTCCGATAGGTCTGTGTCTACCGGCAAGAAGACTTCAAAAGGTGATTGTTGCAGGAAGCCCTTTTGCTCCACAGGCAGGAGGGTCAGCTTATCAGTTTAGACTGACCTTGTGCGGCTCAGGTACATGGGTAGGCTTCCATCCTCTGGAGTGATAAAGACCGTGGTCCTAACTGTTGCAGCATGCTACCCCAAATATAGTATTTAACAAATATAATAAACCAAACTAAGGGCCCATGAGGAGTCATGGAGGTGAACAATGCAGAAATACCACATATCTTTCACATCCTCTAGGTTTCACATGGTCTTGTGCATGATATTTTCTCTTCTCTCCCCCCCCACCCCCCGCCGGGGTTAAGAAACACAAGCTGCTCTCAGTATTCCATTCCATTCTAGGCAAAGGTAAAGGTCTCCCTTGCTCGAAAGCCAGTCGAGTCCGACTCTAGGGTTGCGGTGCTCATCTCCGTTTCAAAGCCGAAGAGCCAGCGCTGTCCGAAGACGTTTCCGTGGTCATGTGGCTGGACCATATTTAATTACCATCAGGTTATTTTTGCGGGCTTTCCCTCTTTTCTTTAATTTATTGTGGGGTGTTTTTTTTGCATATCTATAAATTCCCCCAGGAATGCAGAGATTTCTACATTTTCTATGGGTGACCCCCATTGTGCTGTTCCATTATCTCCCTGGGGCCAGATAGTTTTCCGTTAGACAACGTGATTCCAGAGCTCAGCAGTTTGCCGAGAGCTGGCCTGGCACAGTGGACAGAATGTGGATCTAGGATCCTTGGGGGTGGGGGGGGAGAGCCAGGTCTGAATCCCCAGTTCTGCCTTGGAAAGTCACTGGGTGACCTTGGGACCATCATATCCTCTCAGCCTAACCTACCTCAGAGGGTGTTTGCGGTGGGAAACTGTTGTAGAAGAAGAAGAAGAAGAGATTGGGTTTATACCCTCCAGCCCTTCACTACCCAAAGGTGTCTCAGAGCGGCTGACAAACGCCTTTCCCTTCCCCTCCCCACAACAGACACCCTGTGAGGTGGGTGGGGCTGAGAGAGCTCTGACAGAAACTGCTCTTTTTCAAGGACAGCTCTTATCAGAACTATGGCTTGCCCAAGGTCATCCAGCAGGTGCAAGTGGAGGAGTGGGGCATCAAACCCGGTTCTCCCAGATTAGAGTCTGCACACTTAACCACTACACCAAACTGGTGTAGGGGGGAGAAGATCATATTCTAAGCTGCTTTGAGTCCCAACTGGGGAGAAAAGGAAGGTATAAATAAAATGCAAATGCATGCAGCATGACTGATGGCGGGGGTGGGGGCGGGGCGGGAATCAGCTCTTTACTGGCTTCCAGTTTATTTCTGAGCACAAAACTAAGTGCCTAGGATGTGGGAACCCAAAAGACCATCTCTTCCCATATGAACCTGGCCATTCATTAAAAACTCTTGAGGCCCATGCCCTGTGAGAACTACCACAATGTTCATAGACCCTAAACATTTCGGTTTTTTTCTGATGTGAGAAAAAAATTAAACCATTTTCTTTTACCCTAAAAGTTCATTTCCCCACCCCACCCCTTCTGATTTGAAAAGAAATTTAAAAAATATTTGTAGGCCCTAAGCACTGTGCCTACTGTGGCTAATGGATAAGTTGGCCCTGGCTGAAGGCAAGCTGGGCACAGGCTGCGGTCACACGGAACAGAAGCCACACAAGTGAGACGGAAAACAGGTGGAGTTTCCGGGCGCGATCTCACCAGCACATCTGGGAAGCGTAGCACTCCCGTGGCACAACCGAGGCTTCCAGCCGAAACTGCGTGGCAAAAAACTAGTACCTCGGAGGTACTAGTTTCCGGAAACTGCGGGGCAAGGGCGGGCATCTGATCGCGTTTCCGGTGGCATCCGGCGCCCGCCCATGTCCCCTTGCAAATAAGGTGTTTTTGTTTTTGTCCACATCTCTGTGGATGCGCACACGCACCCAACGGAGCATGCGCATTCGTCGTGTACACACACAAAAAAAACAGTTTGCCGTGGCGCGCGCTTCTTCGTTGCGCGCCGGCTTGTCCTGTGATCAGCACCTCTCCCTTGCCATGGAACCTCCACGGGAGGTCTGATCGAGTAACTGCACAGTAGTTTGCCCCAGGGCAAACAGCCACACTTCTCCCCCGCAGTTTCCTGCCCGTGTGACCGGGGCCACAGAAAACCTTATGCCATTCCCCACACATTTAAGCAGCATGATAAAAAGCAGAGACATC